TACTCATAAGGAGCCGTACACATGCCGCAGTGTTTGCGTGGCTATGTCTTTAGTGTAAGCACAGTGGCTATCTATTAGCATCTGGTTAGCTAGCTATGCTAACGAATTTAAAGAGCTTTTCTACAACCAGAAGAGAGCTCTCTCCTGAGAGGCTCAAATAACCTCAGCTCAGTGAGGTTAAGGCACACCTTGATATGATCATTATAGTTATTAATGAGACTAAATGAAAAACAGGTATAAAATACTATATGACAGTCACAAAAAAGTTGTTAAAAATAACAAGAATAGAGTTTGAAAGGAGAGTGATTTGTAAAATATCCAAAAAGAAAAATCTGCTTACAGTTCCGTTTCATATGGGTGTTGAGAGATGAATCCATAGATCTCTTAATGTTGCTCTCAAAGTGCACCAGATTGATGCTTTTAACTTCAATATTTAAAAAAAAAAATCTTCCCGGGGGAGCATGCCCCCGAACACCCCTAGAGGAGGTTAGGTCCCCCCCCCCACTTAAATCATGTTCACATGGAAAGGATACGAAATACATTTGCACACATCTTGTGTCCATATCTTTTTGTTTTGGTGGTCATGCCACACCCTGCACGTGCACGTGAGTCATGGTGAGATATCTGGATTGAGAGGTTGCTTTTTCTTTGCACAGCATGAAAGAAAGGCCAAATGAATGGGCTGTGATTTTAGTATTTTTAAGCAAAGGTTGAGTTCAATAATTTGTACGGCCCTCTGAGGATGTTGTAAAAATTGAAAGGAAAAATGTTCCCCACCCCTGCTGTAAATAATAATAAAAACCCTTGATTTATAACTAGGGATGCACGCTATTGTTTTTTTTGAAACCGATACCGATAACTTCCTGCTTCTCAAGACCGATACCCGATAATAATATAATATATATTACATGTACCTGTAGTTTTTGCACACCTGGTGGTAAAAAAAAAAGACTAGTAGTGAGCAAATGACATGAGCATTACTACTATGAACACAACAAAGCCAAGAACAGTTTTGACTCTCGTCAAGCTCCATCATTTCTATGATGAAGTTAGAGATCGTTTTAGCCCTGGGGTCGTCTCTGGCAAACTTCTTGCCTTTTTCAAAAGCCTCGTCGATAGGTAAAAGCCCCGGTGCCTTTGCAGCTGGCTTTGGATTCGCCGCTAGTTTAGCAGCGCAGGCGTCTTCGTACGCTTTTAACACACCATCGTAGCGATGGCGATGTTTCAGGTGACTAATCAGGTTGGAAGTATTATAGCTCGTTGCCTTTTTCCCTCCTCGTGGAACTTCTGCATTTGTTAATACAAATAGCAAGCGAACTATCTAACTCTGAAACTTTGAAATAGTCCCATACTACCGGCGACATGTTTGTTTACTGTCCTGGCTTCACGGCCGCACACCATTCACGTCACATCCAGGCACGAGTTAGGGAGCGCTGGATTTGTGAAAAACTCCCCTTTTCCTAAACCACGAATACCACAGTACTGGCAAAACGGGAGGAGCCGAGTGAAAAACAAGCGCCCCTCATCCCAATCCACACCGCAGTATTTCTTTCTTTTTTTTACCCAAAAAATATATTGTATATTATCGGGGCTATTAATACTAGTATCGGGTTTATCGGGATGACGTCATAATTCCTAATATCGGACCGATAATTATCGGACGGACGATAATTATCGTGCACCACTATTTATAACGTAACATCTCTGTCTCCTATTGATCTGAGTATATTATAAAGAACAATTAATTGAAGCATTATAGCTCAGGCCTTTGTCAGATGGTATTACGCTGTTTTTTTTCTGCTTCGAATAGTTCTCTCTTTTCACCACACCTGTGTTTGCATCACTGAAACCAATGAGCACCTGCATGTGTGTGAGAATGGCCCTGACTCCATTTCAACCCAGATTTAAACTCCTGGCAGGACAAGCTCCAGCTCAATTCTCGCACTGAATAAAACAAAGTGAGAGAGGGACTGCAATATAAGAGGGACAGAAAGAGAAACTTTAAAACTGTTCAATTGTTATAATAATAATAGCTTCGATTTCTATAGCGCCTTTCAGGGGACCCAAGGTCGCTTCACAAGTAATAGTGCAAAGACAAACATAACAAAACAAAAGACAGACAAACAGAACAACAGATCGATTTAGGGGCCGAAAGCCTTGGCAAACAGATGGGACTTGAGGGCCCTTTTGAAGGCTTCAAGTGTGGGGATGTTGCGTATCTCCGCAGGGAGAGCGTTCCAGAGGGTGGGGGCTGCCACACTGAAGGCTCTGTCCCCGTAGGTTCGCAGTTTGGTGCGGGGGGGTGGTAAGCAGGCCAGAGTCTGAGGACCGCAGGTTCCGGGGTGGGGCATGTGGGTGAAGGATGTCCGATAGGTACTGGGGGGCAAGGGCATGGAGGGATTTGTAGGTAAGGAGGAGGATTTTGTAGGATATGCGGGACTTGACCGGCAACCAGTGTAGGTGGATGAGGGTGGGAGTGATGTGCTGCCACGGTTTTGTGTGCGTGAGTACCCTAGCAGCACAGTTTTGGACATACTGGAGCCTGTCCAGGGTTTTGTTGGGAACCCCGAACAGGACACCATTGCAGTAGTCCAAGCGGGTGGTGACAAATGCATGGACTAGGGTTTCGGCAACCGACTCCGAGAGTGACGGTCGGAGTCTGGCAATGTTCCTCAGGTGATAAAAGGCAGATTTGGTCACAGATTTGACGTGGGAATGGAAGGAAAGGGTGGAGTCGAGGATGACACCCAGGTTGCGGGCTTCAGGAGATGGGGAGATGGAGCAGCCGTCAACCTCAAGGACGAAGTCACCAACCTTCTGGAGCAGGGCCTTGGGTGCCACAACCATGAGCTCTGTTTTCATGCTGTTTAGTTTCAGATAGTTGCATGACATCCATGCTTTGATGTCATGCAGGCAGTTGATGAGAGACTGAGGGGGGAGCTGGGAGGATGGAGTGGTGCTGAGATACAATTGGGTATCATCAGCGTAGCAGTGGAAGTTGAGTCCATGATGTCGGATGATCTGGCCGAGGGGGAGCATGTAAATGGTGAACAGGAGGGGGCCAAGCACAGAGCCCTGTTATGATGTGTAAAGACTGATATTGTTCTATAATCGTCTGAAACTGTTAAGTCATGATGTGAAACGGTTAACAAAGAAAAAGGGAAACTCAAGCTGCTGCTACACTTTATTTTATTTATCTAAAATTAAGCACTTTAAAGATGCACACATTTTCAAAAGCTATTTTATTTGTAAATGCAGCCCGAGCGGAACATTACACATATCCACAGTATTTACTGTATATCTGTAGAGCTCAATGTTCATTGATAATAAATAGTTGTTTTTGAATTGTACTTTCTTTATTTGATTGGCAGTCAGTTGTTGATAAAGCTACTTCAATATATATCACACTAATTCATAAAGCAAGTTAGACATTTTGATGTTCCGGACCTTTGCATGGGGAGATTTTCTCTAACTGGACCTCGTTGAATTTTAGTTGAATACCCCTGACCTACAGGGTCGCGAGCGGGGGGGGGGGGGGGGGGGGTGCTAGTGGACTAAAACTGCGGATAAACTGTGGCGCGCTTACACTAACGCACCGCATTTGCGCTTTGGCTTTCGGCCCCTAAATCGATCTGTTGTTCTGTTTGTCTGTCTTTTGTTTTGTTATGTTTGTCTTTGCACTATTACTTGTGAAGCGACCTTGGGTCCCCTGAAAGGCGCTATAGAAATCGAAGCTATTATTATTATTAGATGAGGAGGTGAGGCCCCCTCATAACTGCATGAACCCGTATGGCACAATACAACTCAGTTCATTTTTGGTCATTTTTATACCCTTTCTTTAGTAGAATTGTATAAATTGGAAGGCTAACTAGGTAATCAGCTCGTCGGTGATTTGCAGCCCATGCGCGGTTAACTGCGTGTTAGAAAATATGAGATCTCAGACTGGCTTACCTGCACGTCAATCAAGTGGCAAATGCCATAGCAAGGAGGGATGATAGGCTAACTTTTTCTTCAATGCCATGCGATCTACCCACACTACCTTTGCGATCGACATATTGGGCACCCCTGGAGTACAGGTTTCATGATGGAAATAAGTCCTAGGCTTTGTCCCGTTATCCCTGAAAATGCCATAGCGAGTAAGGCTGCTCGATTATGGCAAAAATCATAATCTCGATTATTTGGGTCAATAGTTGATATCACGATTATTAAAAACGATTATCCATTTACTTTGAAAACATCTGTTTATTGAAAGAAAAAATGTGAACAGTATGTTAACAGTTGATTACCCTGAACTTTAAGTATAATTCAACTGAAAAAACAATACATCTTTTTTTTTTAAAAACGTAATTGCGATTAAAATACGATTAATTGAGCAGCCCTAATAGCGAGGTCACAAGCGTAGTTAAATGTTGTGAACAAAACGAAGTAACATAAAATGGGAATACACGAGAAGTATATCAGAGTTGTACCAAAGTAGAAGAAGACACTTTATTAATTACCAACGGGGAAATTAAAGTAGAGTACTTCAGTAAAGGTACCGAGTTACTTTCCATTAGGGCTGCACGAGTTGTTGTGATTATTTTTACTGATATTGCGATATGATTTCCAATATTGCAAAAGATTGATATTTTATTCCAATCCTAATATAATATATCAAGAGGATCTGAACCAAATAAATGTGTTTTGTTGAGTCTGTGTAATATGATTTGTAAGAAGCAGAGATATCTCTACAGCTTTACTTCATTGAAAATGATATTTTAACACATATTTATCCTTTAACAAATACTATGCTTCCTGCTATTTGAATATCGCACTATATTTTGGACCGATTGTGCAGCCCTCCTTTCCTCCACAAGTCATTCCTACCTCAGCAGCGTTATCATCCAATACAATGCTTGGCTTTAGGTGTAATTATAGACAGAAAAGCAGCCAATGAAGGCAGTGCTGGAGTATGGAAAGAAGGTGGATGAGCATACTTAGTGATGGGATTGGAAACTAACCTTTTAATCCATCCGATTGCAGGCGTCCTGAGAAAAGTGCATCTCTTCCAAGACAACAAGGCACAGGTCACAGTTTCACGCGCTGGTTATTTCCTGTTGAGAAAAGACAAAAATCAAAATGATGAAGTGTTTGTCCGATGCTGGAAGACTCCATTTCATTTTAAAACGCCGTTGTTTTGACAAACCAAATAGCATCAATAGGCGCTTTCACACCAAGTACTTTGCCGTACTTAGTTCACAGTACTTAGTTCACAGTACTTAGTTCATCAGATGAACTAAAGAGCAGATCGCGTTCACACCGGAATAAGGCCCTGGCGGAGGATTAGGCAAATGAAGCCGCTGACGTCACTTCTTCTTCTTCTTTGGGTTTACTGGCAGGCCGCAAACAACTTCACGGCGTATACTGCCGCCCGGAGTTGGGGACTGGCTTCAGTAGAAGCTGCTGGGACTCCCAGCAGCTTCTACTGAAGCCTTCTGAGTAAATCGCCAGAACGCCGACACCTCCTCATCTCCACCGCTCCCATGTTTTATTTTGTGTTTCCATAAGTTAGTCTCTCTCCGTTGATGTACTGGGCTAATGCTAATGCTAATAATGCTAATGCCACCAAATAAAATGGTGGCTTCACAAAACGTTTCCGAGTTTTACTGGGCGTGGTTTGCAATTCGCCCAGCCAATCAGAAATAGGAACCTTTTTCTCCCATGAAAGTACCTGCTCTCTAGCAGGGACTGAAAAGGTTCCTATTTCTGATAGGCTGTGCAGAAAGTTCTAGTTCCAGATTTGTTGGTGTGAACGCAAAATGGTAACAATGGTCTGCAAAGCATCTTAATGAACTCAAACACTGAACACTCCACGGCACGATTAGAGGCAATGGTCTGATATAATGTTTTGCATTATACATACTAAGTGCCATTTGAGTGCAGGGGGGGGGGGGGGGGGTGTTCTTCTGGGAATATCTGTGATGGTTTGGGTCCAGTTCAAATTCAGGCTGAGATAAAGCAGGGGACAGTGATAAAAAGAGATAAGGGAAAGAGGAGGAATAACTTCAGCCCTTTTCAATATTCATGAGCCATGTCAATGGTAATGTTCACCAACTGTTAAGACTAGTCCTCTTTAAACATTAAAGACACAGAGTGTACTCTCCCCTGGCTGCCATTGGCAACTTAAGTCTGTGATCAGGCCAATAAATACTGCGGCAGCGATGCTGAGGGGTGCAAAAACACACATATCAGAATAAAAAAAGGTGTCATTACAGCTTTGCTATATGAATGAGGTACTGTCAAGAGTTATGAACGAGTGTCTAAGGTAAGGATGACAGACAGGGGACAGTGCCAACACTCCTAGACTGTGGTCAAGCACGACTTTACTTCTCTAAAACCCGATGAAGTACTCAGTGTCGGCTGCTTTTCCTTCACAAGTGTAGCGTCAGTGGAGGAGTTATTCTGTCTGCTCAGTTATCAGGAGCCACTAGATGCATTTAAAGAAAAATGCAAAACTTTGTGAGGGATGTTATCTTGATAATTACGAATTCAAAGAGCACAGAATGTTTGGTGCCGGATTGGTGCACAGCGGGTGTGAATAGCCCCAATAGCGTAGTGCAGAGTCCTAAAATCCCCAAATCACTTAGCATTTAAAGCACAGCCAGTTCCTGAGTCAGTCTTTAAAATACAAGACAGCTAACGACAGGTCAAACCGGGACTCTGAGCTAAATTACTGGTCTAATGTCTTTAGAAATGATCCACTGATTCAATATGGAGGCAACAGGGTGCAAATGATATTATAGAGCATTCACACATCCAACCAAGAGTGTGTGTGTGTGTGTGTGTGTGTGTGTGTATGTGTGTGTGTGTATGTGTGTGTGTGTGACAGCGGGATAGCTTACACAGAAGCCTTCTCTCCAATAACCCTCACCACCTGTTTGCTCCGTCGCTCAGCTCCAGTAACAGCCAGGGTGTGGAAACAAAGGTCAAGGTGATGCGAGGAAGCAGTCTTTACGATAATCTTTGAAGGTTTCTCAACTTGAGGTTAACCAAAAGGTTACAGCCTTTGCGTCACCCTGGGTGTAGTGGCTAAGCAACAAACGTAGAAATAAATAAGAAATGAACTCAAAATGAAACTACAGGTACAGTATTTTACACAGGGATTCAATCCAATGTGAAAGCGAGCGTAACATCCTTGGTGCATTTTATTCCCTGTGGTTTAACCTGGTAAAAAAAAAAAAAAAAAAGGTAATCATTTTCCATTGCCCGGACACACCCGACATAAACACCTACGTAAATGATGAATATTAGTCCAATTACTATGTATACAAACCGCAAGAAAACTAATGTTTATCTGATAAAGAGACATTAGGTTCATATCAGTATTTAGTGTCTCTACTGAGATATGTCTCCATGCTGAAATGTTCAAAAAGCTCTTTATTTATCCTCATACTTCCATTTTATCATCCGCTGATGATTAAAGAGGACAATCAGTAACTGAGGTATAACTCAAGTTTAGCCCTAAAGCACTTGGGAGCAGTTAATCATGCTCCACGAGAGGAAAGGAGGGAAACTGGGGGGCTGTGGAGAGCTGGAGCTTTTAATGACTTGACAGTTTTAATGATGGTTACAGGGAAGAAGGGTGAAGCATTTATCAGTAGGAGGCCCCTGGGAGACTACAGCCCTCAATCCTTTCTACCTTCTCATTCTCCCAATCACGTCTATTGTCTAAGTTGTATACACGATATGATGACAAAATGGACTATTAAATTGTACAAGCAAGATGCATACAAAGTGAAAATGTGTTGTGAAGATTGATAACTGTTAAAAAGCTCCTGGGTGCTTCCTCATCCCCTCCTCCTTGTGATGCTGAACGCAACCGACTGCTGAAGTAAATACATCTCCAAATAGTTCACAGCTCAGGCTGAAGATTGCTAAGTTGTGAACCCATAACCTCCCAGAGCACGACGCACAGCGCGGTGTTCAGCAGGCGGCTCGTAAATATGGCTGCAATAAGAAAGAGAAAACGTGGTTTGTTTATATCGCCACAGGAAAACTGATTTACTGTCTTTTTGTACTCTTTAGGTCAGCTGGGTCAAACAAGGACAAGAGCTTACTTTGTTTTCTGTGAACATGGAATAGAAATGGCTGGACGATCTACAGGTATGAATGCAGAAACCTAGAGTATTCACTTAAAGAGGCCCCACTTTTTGTAGTTTCCCTTTTCCTGTAGTGTGTTATAGGGCTGTACCCGAATATTCGTTCGTTGGAGTAATATTCGGGTTTCAATTTCGTTATTCGGATATTCGTTTGGTTTGTTTTTTCCTGTTTTTTTTCTCATATTGAATTTATTGAACTCTCCAATATCAACGTAAGAGCTTGTGCCTCTTCGGGGGGTGCTAACACTTAACCATAAGCGTTATCGTTTACTTTCTCCGTCTTTATATGTAGACATTACTTTTCTCCGTTACGTTGTTTCCATAGCAACAACAACTTCCTGTCAACAGCGCTACCTCTCCTTCAAAATAAAAGCATGTCCATAAATAGGAAGCCAAGCCAAATTACACTTAAGATACAACTGCAACGAAAGTAACAAACACAATGCGATATCCTTTTCAATTTCAAAGAACACAAATTAGGCGCATTCACACCGCAGTACTTTTCCCACAAAGGTTCATGAGAACTCTTTTGTCACGTTCACACCAAAAAGAGCCGGTACTAAAATTAGTTCATGAGAACCTTTTTACCCCCACGAAAGTCCCTGCTAGAGAGCAGAGAGCTGCTAGAGAGCAGGGACTTTCGTGCGGCTCTCTTGTGAGAAAAGAGCTATATTTCTGATTGGCTGGGCGGATTGCAAACCACGCCCCGTAAAACTCCCAAAAAGTTTTGTGAAGCCGCCATTTTATTATCCTCGCATTAGCATTATTAGCATTAGCATTAGCCCAGCGCAGAAACGCAGAGAGACTAACTTATGGCAACACAAAATAAAACATGGGAGCGGTGGAGATGAGGAGGTGTCGGCGTTCTGGCGATTTACTCGGAAGGCTTCAGTAGAAGCTGCTGGGAGTCCCAGCAGCTTCTACTGAAGCCAGTCCCTAACTCCGGGGACTTCCGGCCGGGGACTTTGGACGGCAGTATACGCCGTGAAGTGGTTTGCGGCCTGCCAGTAAGCCCAAAGCAGAAGAAGAAGAAGTGACGTCAGCGGCTTCATTTGCCTAATCCTCCCCCAGGGACTTATTCCGGTGTGAATGCGATCTGTACTTAGTTCATGAGAACTAAAGAGTTCTCATGAACTAAGTTCTCATGAACCTTTGTGGGAAAAGTACTGCGGTGTGAATGCGCCTATTGGGTTTGCGTCGAAAGGAGCCAGTTGAGGTGGTTCGGGCACCTAGTTAGGATGCCACCTGGGCGCCTCCCTAGGGAGGTGTTCCAGGCACGTCCAGCTGGGAAGAGACCAAGGGGTAGACCTAGGACCAGGTGGAGGGATTATATCTCTTCGCTGGCCTGGGAGCGCCTTGGGACCCCCAGTCAGAGCTGGTTGATGAGGGGAAAGGAACGTTTGGGGCTCTCTGCTGGAACTGCTACCCCGAGACCCGACCACGGATAAGCGGGAGAAGATGGATGGACAAATTGGGTTACATTAACAAATAACTATAAAACAACAATACTGTAGAATAACAAAATGAATGTTGTGAATACACCGAAATACACGCGTTGAAGCGGTTCGCTGCTGATTACTACGCCCTCCTTACTACTACTACTACTACTACTAATCCCTGATTTCCCCCCTTTCCTCCCTGAAACGCCTCCATTGGACTCCTTTGTTTACCTCTGTAACTTGACATCACTATGTAACACTTGCTCTTCTATTAGCTAGCGTTCCAACACATTGTACGTGATAGGCTAAGGGGCGCGACATCTCTAAGCGATTGACCAATCACAACAGAGCCGGCCAGCTAAACCAATCAGAGCAGACTGGGCTATGGTTTCAGACAGAGGGTGAAAAGAGGCAGTATGAGAAAAATAAAGAGCTTTTTGAACATTAAAGCTTGGCACAGTAGAGACACTACATACTGATATGAACATGAGCAGAGTATATGCTCTTTAACTTCAC